AACCTAATTTTTTTCTCTTTCCTTTACCATTTCTTTTATAAATTTTGTTCTCTCCACTCTTTATGTCTCCTATCTTCTTTCTCTCCCATCTCTTCTTCCTCTTCTTCTATCTTTCTACTTTCTGGATCTAACAATTAAAATGGTAAAGCATTAGTTATGGTGGCTGGCCATGATAGGAGACGCGCATTTGTGCCTTGCGGTGCTACTCCGTGCCAAGGGTGGACTTGTCTCCCTTATGATTCTGTTTAATTGACTTTGCTTTAATGAGTTTCAAAAACTATTTACTATTGCATTTGATTGGAGAGGGAGAAGAGAAGTAAAAGAAAGAGAAGATAAAGAAGGCTATCTTTTACAAACTCATAGGGCATACTAGTAATTTAATGTAAATATTATGGGTATTTATGTAATTGATAGAGTTGACTTGTCATAAATTAATAAAAGAATATAATATCAAACTTTCAAGGGCATTCCAGTCTTTTCCAACTTTGTTGTCCTTTATCGGACATAATTCCCTAACAAAACCTGACGAAAAGTGGTTATTTGTCCTTTTCAAACTTTTTGGATACCTAATTGTCTTTACAGCAAACTATGGGTGGGTGCATGTTGTTTGCCCTAAAGAAATCAAGATATTACCAACCAATTTATAAAATGAAAACCATCACTACGTGATCGATGGTTAACTAAGACTCTTAAGTTTATTACTCAAGAAGTCATGAGTTTGATTCATCTCGGCCCTTAGTAGGGGTTGCCAACTAAAGTTCCAATTGGAGTTCTTACCTACCTACTAATTCTAGTGTCCCAAGAGATAAGTTGCAGATGCATGCAAGTTCGCCCGATGATGTGAATCAAGTCCATGCACTTGTTAAAATCATTGAAGAACTAAAGGAGATCAAAGATGCCAATTCGGCCAAGGAGAAATTACGGAACAAAGGCTATTTAGTGGATCAGCCCAAGGGGGTGTGTTTGGTCAAGATAAAGCCAAGCAGCCCAATTTAAGCCCAAACCGTCCCAAGCCCACAATTGATGATTTCCTTATTCCAAGCCCAACATTTGGATGGATGCAATATCATTTGGTAGGATTCTAATGACTTAATTGGGAAGGAAATTAAGGAGGGAAAGCCTAACTAGCACATGGGAACCTCACATGGACCTTGGAGTTTGTTATGTCAAAGTGGTCCACACTTTCCTCTTTTGATAGAAGACAAGAAGACAAGACTTGGGTGGCTCCTTGTCCCTTTCCCGAAATGGAAAGTCAAGGAATCTTGAAGACTTCTAGGATTTGATTTAGGATTTATTTATAATTGTTCTTTTTGCTCATTCCTATGTAATATTTGATTAGTTTTGACTTGAATCATTCTTGACCGCCACATGTAAGTGTTAGAGTAGGTACCCTAGAGCCAATCAATTATTGTAGAATTGACTCTTTGTAATAATGTTTATCAATCAATAAAAGGCATTTTTCTACTATATCATGTAAATCATAATTGTATACATTGATATATGTCCTTAGGATGGTAGAACCGTGACGAGGGTATCAAGTGTTTCAAATCTTGATAGTGAGAACCCTATGATCATATATAGTGGCCATTCTAGAAATGTCCATGGCCCCAGTATTATTCTGACCAAGGAACAGATAATACAGTAAGGCTATCATAGTATTGAACAACCCTGTCAAAAGGTAGTGACTGATCTCACTTGTCAAAGTTGTTTACCGACAACTTGGTGCAACACATGAGTGCTTGTTGTAGGCAAGTTCACTGAACTGGCCCACCAGAGGATTCCACATAGATAATAACCCTAGTGTCTATGGAACAAATCATCTAACAAATGGTGGTGCATGTGATCATTAGACTTGAGATCACTGGAGAGCCTTGTGCACCAATTGGTGTAGTTTAACACTAGCCCAACGTAATTCTATTTAGAGCTATCAATATGATAGTGATTAGCTACATCAAGGAGTGTATCAAAACTATGGTGGATCGACAGAGAATTCATCACTCTCGGATACGGGAGAAGTTATCTCACGGCGCAATTCAGTGAATGGCAATGACACTAAAGCTGTGGCCACAATGGGATTGAGTTGTTGCTCAATCCAATTTATTATTCCGATCACTGGTCCAGTAACTGAATACAGAGATATCGAGAATAACTAAGGTTGATACTATTTTTGTACCTCAGCCTCGATGAGATAACAGATGATGAAAGGATTTGATTAAACGGTAACCATATCATGATAGGTAACTATTTCGCTGAATCCAAATCTATTGGGTGGCCATGATACCTTGCTAGGGGCCAATCTTGGTCTGTGTGTAGTGAGATGATTGATTGGTGTCTATTGTAATACTACTCACTGCCGATATGATAAGGAGCCTACGGGTCACACACTTAGAAGACAGTTTAAGGATTGTGACTTTTTTGGAAGGCTATATTCGTCTTTTAGATGAATGAGCATATTGGTAATTTTTCTATGTAATTAAATTTACTGAGGTTGTAGCCTATGTCCAATTTTATTATTGGAGTAATTTATTAAAATTATGAATTTAATTATTAAAGTTAATATCAATATTTATATTAATATATGACTAAATAATTAAATAAGGGTTAATATGTAATTCCACCTAAGTTTGGGTTGTTGCTAAACTTGAGGGGTGGAAGGGATATTTGCCTCATTATATAAGTGAAGCACAATTAGGTTTATTCAACCTAATTTATTCCTGCCATGGAGAGTTGTCTATGAAGAGAAAATTTTCTCTTCTTTTCTCTACATTCATTCTTCCATTACTTGACTCCTTAAAGCCAAGAATTAATTTTAGCAGAATTAATTCTTGGTTATTGGTGTACTGTCTTAGTGTGGACGACGTGAGTTCGATTTCATTTTCGGATCGATAGTGAGATCACATTCAGAGACATTGACGGAGCCCCCAATCGCAGGTATTTGAATCCTTGTATGAATTTTCATTATTTCAATTTAAGCATTTAATATATATATATATATATATATAAGACCCTAATCTTGGCGTCATCAAAGTAATCAATGGGCGAAATTTTTTTTTTTTTTTCGCTCCCTTTGTTCATCAATTTACTAACAGTAAGGTCTTGAATGGTTCCTTTTTATTTTGTGCCACATGTACGGCCTAGATTGAATATGTATTAGGGCAACTTGTAAGGTCACATATATAAGGTCAACTTTTCTCTTTTGAAGGTTAGACTTTTGATCAATGAAATTAGCTCTTGAGAGAGTATTCTTGCATCCTTTATCCAATCTTAGCTAAGGGTTGGTGGTGGATTTCCTTGGCTGGTGGTGCATCCTTTAGGCCTTGGATTGCGTTAGCATTATTTGTGTGTTACTTATTTTGTACAGTTATTGGTTTGTGGTTGCTTGTTTGGCCGAATTTGCATAATCGAGGTTAGGGTTTGGTCGAGTGTTCTTGTTGTGTTCTTGTGACGTTGGATGATTGAAGGTTTTGATCTCACTCTAAGTTGGTGCACATGGATCACCCGGACACCCTCGATAATATAAAAAAAATTATTTGAAAGTTACAAAAAAAAAAAAAAAAAGAACAAATGATGAAAGATTACGGTAAACTTTCAATGCTAATAATGGTTACTGTAGGTAAAAACATGGGTAATTCAATTACTGTCTGGGTGGGTGTTATTTTTCCATTATGGGGTAATCAACTGTTCATACCATTTTTACCCTTAATTAATAAACATTTTGGACACAAATGTTCTCATATGTCTACTAAATAACAATTAGCTCAAATGTGCGAAATGACTTCTTTAACCTTATGTATTAATTTTTTGAATAGAAATACCTTCACTATTTACATGGATAATACCCAAAATACCCTTAGCCACCCAAGACAACTGCCAGCCGTCAGCCACCAGCGTTGGCCGTTGTTGACAGTTGTCAGAACGGAGCATGACTAGACAGATCTGACCGAACATGCACCGATCTAGCCGTTTTCGGCCAGATTGAAGGCCGAAAATGGTCAGATGGTCGTGGGTCTGGCTAGAAATGACCACATCCATTTTGGTTGTTCTCGGCCAGATCCATGGCTACAAATGGCCACATATATGGTCATTTTCGACCAGATCCACGACCGTTAATGGCCACAGATCTGGCTGTTAATGGCCAGAATGGATCTAGCTTTCTAGCTAGATCTAGGCCATCTAGCCGTTTCCAACCTTCGATCTAGCTGAAAATTAAACGGCCAAATCGGCACATGGTCGACTAGATCTAATTAGTTGTACGCCATTCCAACAACTATCGACGATGATCGACAATCATCTTGGGTGGCTGGGTGTATATTGTTAAATTTTAAACTTTTGTTGTTGGGTTGTTTTAGCTAAATTCTCAAATATAAGAGGTTAAAAAAATGTTCTAAATAATAATAATAATATTAACAAGGAAGGGCAATTGAGTAAAAACCTCTCTGATAATATATTATTCCTTCCAATCAAACATATTAATTATATACACTCACCAATATAACCAAACATATAAGTATAACATTCCCCTATTAATCTTCAAAGTAAGCTATCTCAATGGTAATCCTATATTTTCAGTAATAAAAAATTCTGCAAAACAATTGCTACCTACAATCATAAGTTTATGACTCCATCAAAAATAAATGTATGCTTCGTAATAAGCGCATGCTAGAAACTGTGTTAAAGAATTTATTCAAGACATTCAAAAGAGAATATACAAGTTGGAAAAGTTCCTTTAATAACAAGGGTTAAATTAAATAATCTTGATACTCCTATATTAGAAAAAATAAAACACCAAAAAAGAAGCAAAGGAAAAAATCGGGAGATAGTCTGACAAGATAAGTTTAAAAAAAGTAGTGGAGTCAAATGGGAAATTGCTAGTTGTTGTACAAAGCAAAATCATATATGCATACGGAACCTTTGTAAAAAAGAGAAGAAGAATTTAAAGCAATGTTGCACATAAGCAATGACATCATACTTGTTCTATACAATTAAAGGAAATGTTATTTATAGCCTAATCGTCTCTTTACCAATTCATTACAACAACAATAATATTCAATGGAGAAGGAAGTGGTTTTGTTGGATTTTTGGCCAAGCTCTTTTGCAATGAGAGTGAAAATTGCATTGGCTGAAAAGGGAATCAAATATGAATGCAGGGAAGAGAACTTGTTTGATAAGAGTCCATTACTGGTAGAGATGAATCCAGTTCATAAGAAAATTCCTGTACTAATTCATAATGGAAAACCCATTTGTGAATCCCTTGTGATTGTTCAATACATTGACGAGGTTTGGCATCACAGCTCTCATCTGCTCCCTTCTCATCCTTACCTCCGATCTCAAGCAAAATTTTGGGCCGATTATATTGACAAAAATGTAAGTTCTTTACTTTATCTTTTAGCTCTATTACAGACATTGAATAAAATTTTCTAAATGTCAATATCTAATTTGGGTTATGAAAATGATACAGCTATACAGTATTGGGAAGAGGATTTGGGCTGGAAAAGGAGAAGATCAAGAGTTAGCAAAGAAAGAGTTGATAGTGTTTTTCAGAAACATGGAAGGAGAGCTTGGAGACAAACTATACTTTGGAGGAGAGAGTTTTGGGTTTGTAGATGTGGCATTAGTTCCATTTACCGCGTGGTTTTACACCTACGAGACACGTGGCAATTTCAGTATTGAAGTTGAATGTCCCAAACTTATTGCATGGGCAAAGAGGTGCATGGAGAAGGAGAGTGTTTCCAAGACACTGCCTCATCCTCATAAGATTTATGATTATGCCATGGAGCTTAAGAAGAAATTGGGGATTGAATAAATACTTAATGGATCCATGTCACTTCTTTTTTATTGCATTTTATATTGAGTTGTTTAAGTTTTAAAGTAGTAATAAATTTATGGTTATTGTCTTCTATTAATAAATCCATGATGAATAATATTAGATTTATAAACTCTTTATACAAATGGTATATTATAAAATGATTGAATGAATGCATATCAAAAGTTCAATAAAACTACATTTATAATTTTTTCACATATTCTTTTTATACAATCTTGATATGATAGCTCATGATTAGGTAATCAAAACCTATTACAAGTTGACTAATCACGAACTATCAAATCATGGTTGTATAAAAAAATTGTAAGTGTAGTGCTATTTTTTTAAATTAACTCAATCAATATTCAATAAATATAAATGAATAACATATCAATAAATGAGTAGTGCCACATCAATTTATACATATGCATTAGTTTGTGTACTTAATTTGTATGTGTAGCGCCATTCATTGTGCTTTGATATAATCTCATAAAATTTTATAGTAATTTTTAGTTGACAATTAAAGAATGAAAAAGTCTTTGTTTCCTAGTTTATATGAAAACCTAAAAGGTATTTGATAAAAGAACATTAAAAGTGCATAACCACTTTCAAAGTTTTACACAGCCTATTAAATTCCTAATCAATTCTTTTAAATTTTAATCATATGGTCATTTTTTTTTTTTTAATTTAAGCCCAAAATCTGTTAATACAAAAATTGGAAAACCTTTTTTTTTTTTTCTGTTGTTTTTCTTAAACCGAAACTTACACATAGTCGTAACAAATCATTTTCCTTCCGTTGTTAGGTTGTATTGATTGTCTGCTTAAATTTAAATCTATAAAATCCTGTATTATTAATTAAGAAATTGTTATTGTTAATATGCCAATGAATACCTCTGAGAGGAACCCAACTCATATTGACAAAAGGAATAAAAGGGCTAACTAGTGTGGCATTTCAAGTGGGGAAGTGTATGGGCTAAAAATTATAATGGGTCTTATCGGGTCCAAACACGAAACATTCATTGCAAGGTCTGCTGCCATGATTCAATTATGGTTGAGCTCACACTAAGATCCATACTACAGGTCAACCCATTGCACCACCAGGTTACTCATGAGTTGGATCATCCAATTACTAATGTCTTGCCCCAAATTGGGCCTCATTGTCAACCAATTGGGCTTAGGCCCATTGGCTCATAGTTGCTCCAAAGAACCCAAAGTTCTAGAAACATTCAGATTCACCTACTTCCTCTTTCATCTACATCCTAATTCATTTAAGATCTTGAATCTTACATGAATTAGGACTCTCACTTCTATAAAGACAAGTAAATCAAGATTTTTCTATTTACTCAAACTCTACCATTATGAACTTAGAGTTCTACTAGGATTCAAAGTTCATGGGTTTACTATGTAAACAAAGGTTTGGCCTCTCATTAGGCATTCAATATTCAATACCATCTACTGACCTTCGCCGTAGTTCTAGTATGAGTCGAGATTCCGGTAACCTTTTCTCCCATAGCCCTCACTAAATTACCTCTCAAAACCTCGCTAACTTGAGTGTCAAAATGCCTATGGTAAACACTACATCGGTGTCTCCCATGAGCTTTGCGCTTACTTTCTTTATGTTTGTAGGTTCAGCAAATCGTCAATGGCCTCAACCTTATAAGATCAATCTGTTCCGTAACTGTAGATTTTACTATCTACAAGAAGTTTGTTACCCATGTGGCAATGTCAATGGAATGTGCGTGATGTTATCTAGGTATAAATATAAGAATATGACCTATAAAAGGAGAGAATATTTTAGTGGAACTTAGTATGGGAGGTCACTAGCTCCTCGAATTGTTAGGCTATCTTTTAATTCTTCGTCATCAACTTTTCTTGTTATTGATCAATTATCATTTCTTTCTTTACAATTCAGCAATACAGTATTCAGTTCATTTAAGTTGAATTCTCTTGTCCATTGATTTGTAATTGTGTTTTTCTTTGCTCTGTTTGGTTGTGTTGAGTGATAAGTGTCGGGGTTCCCATCATATAAAATGTAGGATAAATACAACAATTGCAAAAGCTTTTTAGATATATCGGATTAATACAAATACTTGATAAGCATAATGATAAGTTTTATCAGACAAGTCCAATCAGGTAAGATTGAAAATAATTTCTATCAGATAAGAGTGATCAAGTCACTTGATTTTGATCTACATCCATTTCCTTAACACCTTTGGGTGCTTGTGCCTACGATTGGTTCTGGCAACCATATGAGACTAAGATAGATTCATTTCTTGATGTTATGTATATGCATAAACAATGCAAGAATGAACAAATATAATGACGTGCAAGATATGACAGCTATTATGGCAAGGTTACAACTTACAAATGGCTCGAAAATGTGAATGCCAGGATTTGAAGATTTTGAAGCTTTAGAAGGAAGAGTTCAACCACCGGATGATTTCAAAAGTGGGTCAAAGTCGCTGTTATGATAATATTATGCATGTTAGTAGCAATTTTGGGGTATTAGAGGCATTTTCTAATCTTTCATAATGTAGCACCTTATACATAGATCCTTGGTTGGTTTGTTCACATCAAAGATCCTTTCCTCATTTTGAAGTATAAATGAAGAGTTTATGTGGTGGCATAATGCCATACATACGAGATTTTTATATAACATTTTTCATATAAAAAACTATTTATATGTAGTTTCAATTTATATAACTAAATTTTATGTATTTAATTTTTTTCTAATTTAGTTACTATATAAGTCATATAAATTTCCTACAATTATCAGGGAATTCTTACAATTTTCCTATCTCGATCTGCAAATTAGCTCAAACCACTAAAACTTGTTTTTTATTTGAGTAAATTATGTTAAATTAATCATATGATAAATTATTTGGTATCCTATGAATAAAGTGTTATTTTGACCTTTTTTTCTTTGTTTCTATCGGGTTTTCATAATTGTTTTTAGAACACAAATTTATTTAATGTAATAGTTCTTTCTTTCCCCTAATAAACTCAAACAAACAAAAAAGGAATATGTAATTTTCTTGAAATCCCTTATTTATTTGATTGCTAAAAGGAAGGGTATATTGAATTATTAAAAAAATGATAATTTTAAGAATAAATTAAAATATCTTGAAAATCAATTTTTAAAATTTAAAATTTTAAGATGTTTAATAGACGGTTAAAGACCATCCGGCCCAATTATTAATCTCAGCCCAAAAAAGAAAGTAAAGAGCAACACAGTTTGTTATTAAATGAAGAAGCTTGGGCTTATTAGTCTTTTCGATCTCATAGACAGTTGCCCTAAATTAGGTTTCTTCCCCATGTATAAATGTTAGGTTAAGATGCAAGGCTCAATTGCTTCACTTTTGCTTGGGAGACTCTCCTGCTTCTCTCTTCAGGTTTCGTTTTCTTAAGCATCTGGTTCACTTTTTGTTTGATTTCTTTTATGATACTACTCTGTGTACAATAAGCCGATGCTCTGGATTTTATAAACGATGAAGGTGGCATGGTAGTGTACACAGAAATCAATTTTTTAATTAAATGGGTCTTTGCATGTCTGCCCCTGATGATGCCTTTATTTTTGTCTTTGAGGCTTTGATTTTGGGGGCCTGGTTATGACCTACAGACAACAGTTTTGATCTGGGGAATTTTTCCTTCTTTTTTTTAATTTTATTTTTAGATGTTAATGTGTGTACAATAAGCCGATGCTCTGGAACGAAATTGAGATGAAGGTAGCATGGTAATGTGCACACAAATTGAATTTCAATTGGGTCTACATGTCTGCCATTAATGATTTCTGATTTAAGGGCCTGGTTACGACCTACATATCTAAGATTATTATTGTAGACAGATATAGAGCAGGTTCATCCATTTGATTTAGCAAGTTACAGACGTGTGTTTGCCCCGTCCCGTCGGGGACCCTCGTCAAATGGGCGGGGAATCCCCGGAATTTAGGGCATGGACCGGCGATGGGTATGACAGAAATCCCCCGTTCCGCAATTAATAATATAGCATTAAATGAAAATTAATTGTAATTAATTTAAAATAAAAAATATATATCTATTTACATCAAAATGTACAGTTTCGGTTGTTTTAATTTTGACTTTTGACCAAATAATGTGATCCCAAATTCCCAATTATTAGGTAGTTGTTTCTTTAATTCCAATTCTCCAATGCCCATTGATTAATTTACATTTTAATTCGAGTAAACAACATATTCTCACCGTTTAGCGAAATCTCAAGCATTCCAGATGGCCTTCCTTGAAGTAATTAGCGAATGTTTTTGGGTTTTGATGAATGTTATTACCAAACTGTCTTTCACCAAATTCCAAACCATCACCACAGCTCATTTAAAACCAATCTATGCTAATATGCTAAAAAAATTGCCAGACATCTAATCATAGTTGACCAAACACCCCATTCCAGATCCCACAGTCGGCTAGAGCACCCTATTCTAAACCCTAACCCCATAATCAGCCAAAGCACCCCACTCCAAACCACCACCATTGCCCATTTCAAACCATCCCATCCCATCCCAAAACCACCACACATCTATCCAAACCACTACCACACTTGACCAATCCACTCCATTTCAAATCCAATAGTCACCACTTAAAATCACACCATTTTAGTAAAAAACAAAAAAACGAAAACAGAAAACAAAATACAAAATACAAAATACAACAGCAAAAAACAAAATAAAAACCCTAGGAAGAGGGGGCTTCAATTAGCGTTGAAAGGTGAGAAATCGAGGACAGAAAGCATGGGGTTATTGGAGAGAGCTCTTTGATGAGTTGAATGGTGGGCTTAATGAAGATTTTTAGTGATGGGTCAAAAAGAAGTTGGCGGAGTGCAACACTTAAGGTGCAGGGTGATGGTGAAAAGGGAAGTCAAGGTGGGTGAGGCGTTGGGGAGTCGAAAAATGGGGTAGGGGGCAATTTCCGTCATCAGAAATTGCTAGAAAATAGCCGAGGGGGACTGGCGAACGGCAAGCTAGTGCGGCGAAGGGGTGATGGGATTTTGATGAGAGTGGGGGACGAAGTTGGAGGAAGTGGACGAAAAAATAAGAAAATGGGAGGAGGTGTGGAGGGAAAAAGAAGAAGATGGGAGGAGGAGGCGTAGATAACCGAAGATTTCGATACCAGTTCGAAAAGAAGATGGGAAGAGGAGGCGGAGATAACTAAAGATTTCGATACCAGTCCGAGAAGAAGATGTGAGGAAGAGGCGAAGATAACCAAAGATTTTGATACAAGTCCGAGAAATCCATCCAACCTGTTGTCTTTCTCGATTATCGGTCAAAGTGATAGATTACTATTGCTCATTTTAATGAATCTACAAATGCAAAAAAAAAAATAAAGTAAAATAAAATAAAATATTATTATAATGTTTATTGTTATTTAATAAGGTATTTTATTAAATAATTGCTCTCATTATTTTCCTCAAGCTAATAGCCCTCACTATTAACCCGAGAAAGTCCGTTGACTTTCCTAACGAACCGAGATCCCATCTAACTCATTTCAAACCTTCGCTTTAGCGAACAAACTAAAATGGGTTGATTAGGTAGGTCAACAAACTTAATTCACACTAATTGATAGCTTCAACTACCAACATGTAAAATAAGCCAACAAACCAATTACACAATTCAATGGCTCAAGCCATTGTCCTCAAGTGTAATTCTCAATATCAGTGGAGTAGACATTACATGTCATCACGTACACATAGCAAGTGCACTTCTCTACTATGCTTATAACGTGTTTATCAACCTTCGATTTGGCAAACAAGCAAAACACATCATTTAAGTTGACACATCATCGTTAAGGAAAATTCCAATGAAGTTTGACCTCCCATTGGTAAAAGTGTACCTTTCATTTTAATGAATAAGATTCCAACGAACAGTGGCTTGATCAAGTTCATGGTGATGGAAGACCTTTTAATTAAATGACCTAATATACTTTTGTTGAGGGGTTTTTATTTTATGTCTCACCAATTTTATCTTTATTAACATGTTATAGTCACAACAAACACCCTTAGCATGCATACTAAGCATAAAGGAAATGTGTTGGTGTATAGCCTTAACTAAAACCGATTTCCTCGATCCTTGAGGAATTGGTAAGTCAGCCTAGGTAAAAGAATAAATGAATTCTTCAAGCAATTCACTTTCTTCATTCCATTGCTTCTTCTTCTCGAACATTGCACAATTTTCAAAATAAAATTTCATTCTAATTTTACATAATTGAAAAGAAACCTCGAATTACATTCGAGCGGGGTGAGATGACAGAGAGAAGTTACATCGGAGAGTATAGACAAAGGCAGGGCACACAGACCCTATTTTAAAATTACATAATCCAAATAATTCTTAAACTGGTTTCATAGGCTTATGCACCAAACACCATGCATATTTGCAATCAAGAAGATGCATAAAACAAATCAAAATTAAATTTTGATTAGGTTGGTAAAATGATTACCCCTTGATGTTTAGTAGTGTTACGTTCAAGTCTAACAAGTTTTAAATTTTTTATTTTAGTCCCTTGTCATCGGGCCTCACTCAATTGGGCCTCCAGAATGTTTCTAACATGCAATAGAAAATTATGGATTAATTTCAACACATAATAACACAAAGACAGCCCAAAATTCAGCCCATTGCATCATTACACGGGCTACCCAAAATTTCGCCCATTGCATCATTACATGAGCTGCCCAAAATTTCCAGATTAGGTGTGTGTTTTAACGCGCACTAGATCCAGCACTTGGCTGAAAAACCAAGTGCTTGTTAAAGCCAAGTGCGGGGAGCACTTGGCTACCATGGGACAGCCACACATGGTGAGATTATAGGAGAACAACAACAACAACAACAACACACTCGTATGCACTGCTGTGCCGTTTGCGGTGGTACAACCCAAGGCCGCATGCCTAAGCATATGGCCAAACATTCCCCACCCATGGTAGCGTGCAACAGCAGTGTTGCTGAGCACGATAATACACGCTTTGCCTAGCATGAGAGCATGTTTGTGCGCTTGTTGCTGTTGTCGTGTGCGGCAACGCACTGCCCTTCACGGCAGTGCACTCTACAAATAGAAATCAAGTTTTATTTGATTTCAACCAAACACAAATAGATCAGATGCAATATATAAACACAACACATCAACCAAGCATACAATTAACAATTTTCAGATTTTAATCAACATATTAAAACCCTAATCAACTATCATCGAAACCAAATCATCCAAACGATAATTAAAGCGATTTAATTAGGTATAAGAGGCTCTAATACCACTATAGGTTTACGAATCAAATTTGCGCAACAGAGTTACATATTTGATCCATAAACCTTTGAACCCAGCGATCCTTATATCGATTTACATCGTTCATGCATATAATTATATTAAGGGTTCATTGTCTTGATAGACTAGTACGTCACTGTGTTGAGTCACAAGAAAACCATATCTCTTGGGCTCTCAACGTACTCTCCCAGATCTATAAAGCTCTTGTGTTGTTTGAAGTGGTACACTTTGTTCCACTGTGTGTGGAGTAAGCTCTTTACGATGTTCAACCATTTCACTTGGCACATCACCTTGTCCATCGTCTAATGTATCTTGTGAACTTAGAACTTCATGAAGTTCTATCTTCCTCCCACTATCTCTTTTTACAATGAATTCCTTCTCCAAGAAGACCCCCGTTTGAGCAACGAAAACTTTCTACTCAACTGGATGGTAGAAATAGTGTCCTCTAGTTTCCTTAGGACACCCTACAAAAATACATTTCTCAAATTTTGAGGCAAACTTGTTTGAAGTCAATTTCTTGACATAAGCGTCACAACTTCAAACTCTTAGATAAGACAAAATGGGCTTTCGTCATTCCATAGTTCATATGGTGTCTTATCTACAGACTTAGATTGTACACGATTTAGTGTATAAGTGGTAGCCTCTAAGGCATAGCCCTATAATGATGTGGGTAAATCTGTAAAACTCATCATATATCGAACCATATCCAACAAGGTACGATTCCTCTTTCAAACACTCCATTGTGTTGAGGTGCACACGGAGATGTGAGTTGAGATACTATCCCACAATCCTTTAGGCATGCATCAAGCTCTAAGCTTAAGTGCCTCCCCTGTCGGACCAGAAGGCCTTGACATTCTTACCCAGTTGATTCTACACTTCATTCCTGAATTCGTTGAACTTGTTAGAGGATTCATATTTATGTCTCTTTAAATAGACATAACCAAATCTACCGAAGTCATCAGTAAAAGTGATGAAGTAAGGATATCCACCTCTAGCTTGTACTATTAGTGGTCCACATACATCACTATTGGATGATGTCTACAACTTCGTTGCCTTTCACTGTATCCAGTAAAAGGTGACTTGGTTATTTTGCTTAATAGGCGCGACTTGCATACCTCATAAGACTAGAAGTCAAACGGGTCGAAAACTCCATCCTTATGGAGTTTTGTGATGCTAGTCTGGTTCACATAACCCAACCTATAATGACATAGATACGTTTGATTAAAGCTATCATTCTTGGCTTTCTTATTTTCAAGATTGAATATTTCATTATTATTTAAATCTAGAATATATAGACCATTATGTAATCTATCAGTTCCATATTGAATACCATCCAAACTAAAAGATAATGACCCATTAGTTATCAAAAACTGATATCCTACATTGTTGAAAGCGGACACAGAAATAATATTCTTAGAAACTGAAGGAACATAATAGCAATCCGAGAGCTCTAATAAAAGGCCCGAAGGCAAAGATAAATAATAAATCCCCACAGCTATTGCAACAACTCGTGCTCCATTTCCAACTCGTAGGTCATTCTCTCCTCGA